CCTCCCTCGTCCGTGACCCCCGTGCCTAGCTCCCCCCCAGTCCTCCCCTCTCAGCGGCTGGACGGCTGCCTCCCCCTCCCCCAGTCCTTCCCTCCTGGCTGTTCACCTTTCCTGCACTTGGCTCCCCTGAACTGGTGCGCTGAAAACGAGGAAGCCAAGTCCCCTCCCTAGGAGCCCGGCTGGGTGGGAAGGGAGCTGGTGAGGGGTGGCCAGCGGGAGGGTGAATTGTTCAAACCCCCACTGGGGGATTTCTTGAGTTCCTGCCGGTTTTAGCCTCTTCACTTGTACCCGGGGGAAGCCGGGTCCCCTTCCCCACACCAGGGCCTGGCAGGGAAGGAAGGTCCGCGTGGGTCCTGGTCGGAGCCCCACAAGGGCTGCTGTGGCTTCGCCCCGCGTGGCCTGGCCGGGCCATGGCTGACTCCTCCTTGTGCTGCAGTGCGCCTGCTGCGGGAGGAGCTGCAGCTGCTGCAGGAGCAGGGCTCCTACGTGGGCGAGGTGGTGAGGGCCATGGACAAGAAGAAGGTGCTTGTCAAGGTACGGTGCTGGGGCCTGCTGCTCGGGGCGGGGCCAAGGCCTGGCCTTGTGGGGCTGGTGGCCAGGCGCAGGCCTTCAGGACAGTGCTGCCTTGCCTGGCTGCTTTGGGGTCACTCCCCTGTAGATCTGTGGGGCAGCTCGGAGGCGCCAGCGCCGGGGGAAGGGCTGTGGTGCCTGGTGCAGGCTCCCTCCCTGGGCAGGAGAGGGGTGAAGCCAAGGGCAAGGTGACTGGTCTTGTCCTGCTCAGCCGAGGGCTCCCCTCCCGGGGCGGGTGTTAGGAAAAGCTTGAGTAGGAGCAGCCCTTCTCCAAGCCCTCGGGGCCTCGCTGAGCTCACCCCTTCCCCCAACACCTGGGGAGCCCCGCACAGGCTGTGCCTTGCTGTCCTGGAGACCCTCAGTCCCTGGGCCCGGGAACCTCCAGGGGGCTGCAGAGGCCCGTTCTGGGGAACTGCCCCAGGCCCTAGCCCTGGCTGCAGAGAGCCCCACCAGCTACTGAGCAACCCCCAGGCCGTGGCTCTCCGGGCTGGGCAGGGGGCGGGCGCTGCTCCGGCCCCACCCCACAGCTCTCTGCTCTCTGTTCCAGGTTCACCCGGAAGGGAAGTTTGTGGTGGATGTTGATAAAAACATTGACATCAATGACGTGAGTACCAGGCCCCTCGGTGAACCCGGGGCTGGGCCGGCTTGGCAGCAGCTGCCTCCCCTCGTGCCCGTCCTCACGGGCCGGCCGGGGACAGCAGAGGGCGAGGCTCCTTCGGAACAGCTGCTGCTGGCGCCGCGCCAGGCTGGGGCCCAGCAGGCGGCTCCCCCCCGCCGGTGCTGAGGCGAGTGGGGCCGTGCGGCAAGTTCCTGCCCCTCGTCTCCACAGGTGACCCCCAACTGCCGCGTGGCGCTGAGGAACGACAGCTACACCCTGCACAAAATCCTGCCCAACAAAGTGGACCCGCTGGTGTCCCTGATGATGGTCGAGAAGGTCCCGGACTCCACCTACGAGATGATTGGCGGCCTGGACAAGCAGATCAAGGAGATCAAGGAAGTGATCGAGCTGCCCGTCAAGCACCCGGAGCTCTTTGAGGCCCTGGGGATAGCCCAGCCCAAGGCAAGCCCCTCCAGGCCAGGGAGGCACCCACCCGTGTCCTGCCAGAGACTCCCCCCCAGCTCCCAGGAAGTGGGGGAGGGACCAGCTGGGGCTGGCCCCCCGGGGCACGGGCTCTGGCTGTGCGGGGGAGGGAGGAGTCGTCACTCCCGTCCCGGGCGCTGGGATCCCAGTGCCTGCTCTAGCCCCGTCCTGCAGTGCCGGCTGGGGGAGGGACTCAGTCATCCCAGAGGCCTCAGCTGTGCCAAGACCCTGGCCCAGTGCAGCTCGCCCCCTGCTGGCAGCAAGGCCAGGACCGAAAGCGGGCGCCTGGGCATCCTGCTGTCCCAGCCCGTCCTGGGGGTGGCGGCTCCTTGTCCATGCTGGGGTGGGGAAGGGCGAATCTCAGGGAATGCAGCAGCCTCACCCTCCCTGTCCCACCTGGGGATTAGCGCAGCACCCCCTGCTGGCTGGGCAGTGAGCCGTGTCCCCAGCACGAATCCCCAGGGCTCCATAGCCCCCTGCCCCCGTCGGCAGCCCCGTTCTGCTCCCAGCTGCACCCCCAGCGTACGGCACGTGGCCCTGGAGCTCTGGTACCTTGTCCTGCAGGGGCCTGGGGGCTGAGTAAATTGAGCAGTAGGTGGCCCCTCCCTGGGCTAACGACCCCATGCTGGCGGTTGCAGGGCGTGCTGCTGTACGGACCTCCCGGCACCGGGAAAACCCTGCTGGCCCGAGCTGTGGCCCATCACACCGACTGCACCTTCATCCGCGTCTCGGGCTCGGAGCTTGTGCAGAAGTTTATTGGCGAGGGGTTTCAGCCCCCCCATGCCTATGCTGGCCCTCTGCAAAGCCCCCACACCGCTGTGGCTCTGGGGTTCGTGTGCTGTGTGTGGGGCCAGGAGGAGAAAATCAATGGGTACAAAAACCTGGGCGCTAGGTGCTATCATTAAATTAGCCTTTTCTCAGGAAATTATGAAACTCAAATTGAATTAGGGGTCTGCGTTGAGGCCTAAGGGCGCAATTACTCCCGTTGCACTAACGAGTCCGGTGCATCCCAAGAGCCCTGCTTCCTAACGAGACCCAGAATTGGGGAAACGTGTCTCCCAGGCTCCCGCGGTCCCGCTGTGGAGATGCCGGCTCTTTACATCTTCCAGTCTGGGCTTTTCCAGCATCAGGAGCCTTTGCGTGGGGGTCAGCTTAGCTCAGGGTGCAGAGACCCTTCCTTTGGACTAGCTCGTTCCAAGCGGGGAGCTGGGTTCCCGCTCGCAGTCCTGGCGGGGAGGCCGAGCTGTGCTGACAGTGACAGGCCAGACGTGGAAGGGGGTTCAGGCACCAGGCGATGCAGGTAAACGTCAGAGGGATTCCAGGAAGCTGTAGGTGGCTCGGTTCGCTCACTACAGTAAACGCTTCCCAAGGTGTCTCAGCTGCAGACGGTTTGACAAACTGAACGTTTCCTGGCGCATCTGAATTGTTTGAAAACGCTGGGCCGGGTGTGTTTGTTTAAAATCCGGCGGGCGGGCGGGCGCTAGCAGGTGAAGAACAGAACCCTTGCTCTGCTAACCCGGCGCCGTGTGGCAGGGAAGCCTCTGAAAGACGACTGTGCAGAGCGAGTGTCGTCTGGCTCGCAAAGCGCTGGGCCGGCTGGCGTGATGGTTCTACCAGCCCGAGCACGAGCCTGGCAAGGAGTCCGCAGCAATGCGAGCCAGGGTTGCGAGCCGGGATTAAGTCCCAGTTCCTGGCTACTGATTTCAATCCGGATTCAAACTGGTGTTTTAAATGGCGGCCTGGCCTGTGCCACGCCCTGTGCGAAAAGCCTCTTGCAGCTGCCCAGGGGAGCTGAGCCAGAGCCTGGCCTCCCTGAGCCCAGGCTCGGCCCCGCCCCCGGCCTGCGCTGGCCAGGGAGGGGAAAGGTCCCTCACCCCCCCG